AGGACAGGCAGGAGGACTTTGAGTGTTTTGCAGCTGCTCTCCCTCATCTCGTGTCCATGCTGCTTGCACCTGAGGGAGACCCGGATGCACCAGACATCCCGACCCCGCGCTCTTACGCAGAGGCGATTGAGGGTCCCTACTCCTCTCAGTGGCAGACAGTCATGGACGCAGAGATGGCTTCCTGGAAGTCCACAGGCACCTACGTCGACGAGGTTCCCCCACCTGGGGCGAACATAGTCGATGGCATGTGGATTTTCAGGGTGAAGCGGCCGCCGGGTTCTCCGCCTGCCTTCAAGGCGCGTTACGTTGCTCGAGGCTTCAGTCAGCGACAGGGAGTTGACTTCTTCCAGACCTTCTCCCCTACCTCGAAGATGACCACTCTTCGGGTGCTGCTGCACGTTGCCGCTCAGCGTGACTACGAGCTTAACTCTCTTGACTTCAGCACAGCCTTCTTACAGGGCACTCTGCACGAGGAGATCTGGCTGCGCCGCCCACCTGGCTTCACTGGGTCGTTTCCTGCAGGTACCCAGTGGAGCCTCCGGCGGCCAGTCTACGGTCTCCGCTAGGCGCCTCGCGAGTGGCACGACACACTGAGGACGACGCTTGCGGCTCTTGGGTTTGCTCCTTCGACTGCTGACCCGTCGCTGTTTCTACGCACCGACACTTCTCTGCCGCCGTTCTACATCCTCGTGTATGTCGACGACTTGGTCTTTGCCACTGCTGACACTGCCGGACTGGCCTTTGTGAAGTCGGAGCCGCAGAAGAGACACACGTGCACAGACCTGGGTGAGCTACGCAGCTATCTTGGCTTGCAGATCACCCGGGACAGAGCACAGCGCACCATTACCCTGACTCAGTCACACATGGTGCAACAGGTCCTTCAGCGTTTCCGCTTCACGTACTCCTCGCCACAGTCCACTCCTCTGCCTACCGGTCACTCGCTCTCAGCTCTGCCTTCGGATGAGTCCGTAGAGCCGAGTGGCCCGTATCCAGAGCTTGTGGCATGCCTCATGTACCTGATGACCTGCACTCGACCTGACCTTGCCTTCCCTCTTAGCATCCTGGCACGCTATGTTGCTCATGGGAGACACCGACCAGAGCACATGGAGGCCGCTAAGAGGGTGTTGCGCTACTTGTGCAGTACGTCGGGCATGGGGCTCGTGCTTGGAGGACGGGCTCGAGTTGTCCTCACTGGCCACGCAGACGCTTCTTGGGTTGACGACTTGGCTACGCAGCGGTCGTCACAGGGTTACACTTTCAGCCTTGGCTCCGGCTCTGTTTCGTGGCGGTCTACCCGATCGTCTTCTGTTCTCAGTTCCAGTTGTGAGGCTGAGATCTACGCAGGGGCCATGGCTGCACAGGAGTTACGCTGGCTCACCTACCTGCTGACTGACTTGGGAGAGCAGCCTCGTTCTCCGCCAGTTCTGTACGTCGACAACAAGGCCATGATTGCCTTCTGTCAGGAGAACAGACTGGAGCACAGAACGAAGCACATCGCTCTGCGCTACTTCCTTGCTCGAGAGCTGCAGCAGCGTGGTCAGCTTCGTCTTGCTTACGTGGCCTCTCGGGCCAACACTGCTGATATCTTCACCAAGGCACTTCAGCCTTGTGATCATCAACGTTTCTGTACTGTTCTAGGCCTTGTGCCTACTTGGCCTCACTTGCTCACTTCTTGACTTTGCTTATACTGTGATCTATATTCATATACCTGCATGCTTACACTTGCTAGATTGTGATCACTGTACTGCTTGTTCTCCTTTATATAACTCTGCATGTGAACTGGCCTTGTGGCCATTTGCTTGTGCTCAGAATGCGTGGTGACTTCGTGATCCACACTGAGCTTGCTTTGCTTTTCTTGACCGGTCTTGTGACCTCTTGTTCTCCCCCACTTTGCCTATGGGGGTGTGTCAAACTTATATGCTGCTTATTGTGTAGGCTATAGTGGGGTAGCTCATATGGGGTACAACCCAATTAGGGTTTCCTACTTGTACCCATCTTGCTGCTAGTTCATCCATTCTCGCTTTCTGATTCTGACAGAAATGGGCGCCGAAGCTGGCACAGAGGCTGATGTGTTTTCCGAGGGTGGCACGGGCGCCAAGGACGACGAGGGCGTCGAGTACTGGTCGCGCGATGGCCTACCTGAAAAGCTGTTGATTTCGTCTTATCCGCCATTTAACAATAAGCGTCCCCACCCTTCTTCTGAGAACCATGATGCCCGCCCCCCCTCCCCCAGGCACAAGCCGACGCGTCATAAGCGTCACTCGTATACGGCCCAGGAAAAGCTCAAGTGGCTCGTGCGCCTGGAGCTTGCGGCATCGATAAGCGAGGTGGGACGAGAGTCGGGCATCCACCGCAAGTGCCTTACCGAGTGGACGAGCCAGGCGCACCAGCTCAAAGACTCCCACAGCGCACGGAAGCGACTACAATGGGCGGGGGAGATTATCGTGGTACAGGCCGATGGAGATTAAGGTTTACGCTCAGCTCCTCGTCTGCAGGAGTGGTCTCGCGAGGTGATGAAGGTCCTTTTCCCGGATGTGAAGTGGAAAGGGAGCCAGCGGTGGTCGGAGCGGTTCCGCAAGCGGTGGAATCTCAGCGTGCGCATGAAAACCAAGGTGGCTCAGAAAACCGCCGGCCGTAAGCGGCTTGTTGTTTTTAATTTCGCGCGAATTCGCTTGGTTTTTGCTTGCTTTGTCAAAAATTTCTATGGATGTTTTTTTTATTACCAAAATCCGGTTTCCTCTGAAATCCTTTCCTCTCCAGTGGTGCCGATTGCTCCTCAGTGTTGCCAAGTGCAAGGACTTCTGGCAGTTTGTTCCGACGCGCGCGTCGTGAGTACGACATCGACAACAGGTACATAATCAACGCCGACCAAACGCCGCTGTGGCTGGAGTGCCAGCGACAACCACTGTGGAGCAAACGGGCTTGAAGTCGGTGCCCATCCGGAGCGGTGGTTACCAGAAGGAAAGGGTCACCGTGATGTTGGCGTGCACGGCGACGGGGGAGAAGCTGAAGCTGTGGGTGTTTTTCAAGCGCAAGACCGTGCCAAAGGGTGATTTCCCCAACGGTAAGCTTTGATGTGTTTCCTTGTGCTTCAGTGTTTGCTTTTAACAAATGTAAAACTAACAACCGTTTCTGTTTGTGCGTAAATGTCGTCGTGGGGTGCCAAGAGAACGGATGGATGGACGCCGAGGGCGTCATCGAGTGGCTCGATAAGGCCGGCACGCCCTTCATCAAGCCGAAGTTCGGCGTGCGGGCGAGGAGCGCGATGCTCGTGCTCGACTCCTACAGCGGTCACCTGACCGACGAGGTGAAGGCGAAGTTCGCCGAGCGGTGATCCCGGGGGACTGTACGGTGGAGGTACAGCCCCTAGACGTGTTGGTGAACAAGAGCTTCAAGGCTAGCGTGCGCCAGCAGTACCAGAGCTTGTTTGAGCAGGAAGGCATGGGCACCTCGACACCAGCAGGTGAGAAACATGGTTTTTATACAAAAACGAGTGCGTTGGTACACCCCCTCTATTGTTCTAACTGATTCCCCCCTATCTTTAATGCGGTGCAGGCAATACGGTATCAGGAAGCCGCCACCTGGGGTCGTCCTCAGGTGGACTTCCCGGGCCTGGAAGGCGGTGCCCGCCGACCTCATCAAGAAGGCTTTCCTCACATGCGGCATCAGCAACGCGCTTGACGGGAGCGAGGAAAAGCTGGTCATGTCGCACAGGAGGACCCAACTGACAAAGGGAGTGGTGGACGTGGACGACGAGATCGCTGCCGATGGCTTCTGGAGCAACAACTGCCCGTAGCCCGAGTCCGACGAGGAGGACGAACTCCCCTAGGCTAGACTAGGTAGAAGTGAAAACCATAGGTAGAAATGCTTTGTTAATGCATGTCATGCAGAACAATGGAGAAAAAACGTGTAAAACTTTGTTACGCTTACTGGAAAATTAGACTTGTAGGATTTCTAGCCCTTGAGGGGCCTCAGTTTAACGGGTGCGATTATAATAAGTAGTGGTTTCAAAAGGGGTGCGCTTATCAATGAGGATCGGCCATAAGCGCATTGCTCCATAGGCCTGCGCTTATATCCAGAGTGATACGGTAAAACAATTCAATTAAACGCCCCGCTCACTTTTCATTTCTTATCACTACAAGCCCCTAGGGGCGTACATCCGGGGGAATACAGTGTTGGTGCAGTAACTTCCAGTGTGCTGATTATATTTAGATGCCGTACACTACCACTGCCATAAGATCTTCGAGAGGCTATCAATAAAGGTTGTTACCGCACTTCCCTGGGCCGATTGCCAGTAGACCAGTTTCAGGTCTAAAAATCCATTTCGGTACTCGTACCACACCACAAGTTCTCCTTCCATGCAAATGCAACGCATCGTTTGAAGTATCTACCTCCTCTTACGCCTCCTAGCGTCTTGACTAGCCGCCACAGTCTCAGCCATTAACTCTCTGCCAAGCCCCAGCGCGTCACTCTCTGACGAGGTGTGATGTGACGCATTAAGGGGTCACACACACCTCGTCATTTGCCCTCCTGGCTAGCCACTCTACCTCCTCTTCCGCCTCTTGCCCTCCTGGCTAGCCCGGCTAGCCGCCGTCACAGACTCAGCCATCAGCTCTCGAGCAATCTTCTCAAACTGAACGCTAGCACCCTCCGCTAATTGCTGTGACAAATCCTCGAATCGCGAGTACGCATCCTCAAGCAACTCCCGAGTGAGCTCTTGAAACTGGAAACACGCGCTTCTCACGGCTGCACCCATGGCTCCAGTCAATCTCTCGCCCGACCTCTCGCCCAACCTCTCGCCCAACCTCTCGCCCAACCTCTCGCCCGAAACCCCTGCGCTCGAATCCTTTCCATCTCCTGTAGAGATCTCCGTTCCTCTCCTTGCAGATCTTCCCTCCTTCCGCTCCATGCGTTCTATCCATGCAGGCTGAAAAAACGGAGAGGGGAAGGGCGACCCACCTGAAAAAAACTCACAGAAAAACACCTGACAGCACACACACCTGAGAGCAGAGGCGAAGGAGCCATCTGGCAGGAAGAGGAAGGGCGCACAGCAAAAGTTGGGCCGGTCACTGTGACGGAAGGCACTGCCAAACTCGTCCATCACGTACCTGATGGGTGTCGGGAGGGGAGTGGTAGGAGTGGGGGGAATGCGGGGAGTGAGGGGGATATGTGGGGTTGGAGTGGAAGGTATGATGGGTGTGTAGAGGAGGAGGAGTGGTGGGGAGTGAAGGGGTTGGGGGGAGAAAGGGGTTCGTGGGCTGATGCAGGCTCCCATCTACCAGCCCTACCATGCAATGAGCCTTCCCCAGCAGTCCCTTGCAAATCACCCGGAGCTGCTGCTGCCCCTTGTCCGTGGGCTGATGCAGGCTCCCATCTACCAGCCCTACCATGCAATGAGCCTTCCCCAGCAGTCCCTTGCAAATCACCCGGAGCTGCTGCTGCCCCTTGTCCGTGGGCTGATGCAGGCTCCCATCTACCAGCCCTACCATGCAATGAGCCTTCCCCAGCAGTCCCTTGCAAATCACCCAGAGCTGCTGCTGCCCCTTGTCCGTGGGCTGATGCAGGCTCCCATCTACCAGCCCTACCATGCAATGAGCCTTCCCCAGCAGTCCCTTGCAAATCACCCGGAGCTGCTGCTGCCCCTTGTCCGTGGGCTGATGCAGGCTCCCATCTACCAGCCCTACCATGCAATGAGCCTTCCCCAGCAGTCCCTTGCAAATCACCCGGAGCTGCTGCTGCCCCTTGTCCGTGGGCTGATGCAGGCTCCCATCTACCAGCCCTACCATGCAATGAGCCTTCCCCAGCAGTCCCTTGCAAATCACCCGGAGCTGCTGCTGCCCCTTGTCCGTGGGCTGATGCAGGCTCCCATCTACCAGCCCTACCATGCAATGAGCCTTCCCCAGCAGTCCCTTGCAAATCACCCGGAGCTGCTGCTGCCCCTTGTCCGTGGGCTGATGCAGGCTCCCATCTACCAGCCCTACCATGCAATGAGCCTTCCCCAGCAGTCCCTTGCAAATCACCCGGAGCTGCTGCTGCCCCTTGTCCGTGGGCTGATGCAGGCTCCCATCTACCAGCCCTACCATGCAATGAGCCTTCCCCAGCAGTCCCTTGCAAATCACCCGGAGCTGCTGCTGCCCCTTGTCCGTGGGCTGATGCAGGCTCCCATCTACCAGCCCTACCATGCAATGAGCCTTCCCCAGCAGTCCCTTGCAAATCACCCGGAGCTGCTGCTGCCCCTTGTCCGTGGGCTGATGCAGGCTCCCATCTACCAGCCCTACCATGCAATGAGCCTTCCCCAGCAGTCCCTTGCAAATCACCCGGAGCTGCTGCTGCCCCTTGTCCGTGGGCTGATGCAGGCTCCCATCTACCAGCCCTACCATGCAATGAGCCTTCCCCAGCAGTCCCTTGCAAATCACCCGGAGCTGCTGCTGCCCCTTGTCCGTGGGCTGATGCAGGCTCCCATCTACCAGCCCTACCATGCAATGAGCCTTCCCCAGCAGTCCCTTGCAAATCACCCGGAGCTGCTGCTGCCCCTTGTCCGTGGGCTGATGCAGGCTCCCATCTACCAGCCCTACCATGCAATGAGCCTTCCCCAGCAGTCCCTTGCAAATCACCCGGAGCTGCTGCTGCCCCTTGTCCGTGGGCTGATGCAGGCTCCCATCTACCAGCCCTACCATGCAATGAGCCTTCCCCAGCAGTCCCTTGCAAATCACCCGGAGCTGCTGCTGCCCCTTGTCCGTGGGCTGATGCAGGCTCCCATCTACCAGCCCTACCATGCAATGAGCCTTCCCCAGCAGTCCCTTGCAAATCACCCGGAGCTGCTGCTGCCCCTTGTCCGTGGGCTGATGCAGGCTCCCATCTACCAGCCCTACCATGCAATGAGCCTTCCCCAGCAGTCCCTTGCAAATCACCCGGAGCTGCTGCTGCCCCTTGTCCGTGGGCTGATGCAGGCTCCCATCTACCAGCCCTACCATGCAATGAGCCTTCCCCAGCAGTCCCTTGCAAATCACCCGGAGCTGCTGCTGCCCCTTGTCCGTGGGCTGATGCAGGCTCCCATCTACCAGCCCTACCATGCAATGAGCCTTCCCCAGCAGTCCCTTGCAAATCACCCGGAGCTGCTGCTGCCCCTTGTCCGTGGGCTGATGCAGGCTCCCATCTACCAGCCCTACCATGCAATGAGCCTTCCCCAGCAGTCCCTTGCAAATCACCCGGAGCTGCTGCTGCCCCTTGTCCGTGGGCTGATGCAGGCTCCCATCTACCAGCCCTACCATGCAATGAGCCTTCCCCAGCAGTCCCTTGCAAATCACCCGGAGCTGCTGCTGCCCCTTGTCCGTGGGCTGATGCAGGCTCCCATCTACCAGCCCTACCATGCAATGAGCCTTCCCCAGCAGTCCCTTGCAAATCACCCGGAGCTGCTGCTGCCCCTTGTCCGTGGGCTGATGCAGGCTCCCATCTACCAGCCCTACCATGCAATGAGCCTTCCCCAGCAGTCCCTTGCAAATCACCCGGAGCTGCTGCTGCCCCTTGTCCGTGGGCTGATGCAGGCTCCCATCTACCAGCCCTACCATGCAATGAGACTTCCCCAGCAGTCCCTTGCAAATCACCCGGAGCTGCTGCTGCCCCTTGTCCGTGGGCTGATGCAGGCTCCCATCTACCAGCCCTACCATGCAATGAGCCTTCCCCAGCAGTCCCTTGCAAATCACCCGGAGCTGCTGCTGCCCCTTGTCCGTGGGCTGATGCAGGCTCCCATCTACCAGCCCTACCATGCAATGAGCCTTCCCCAGCAGTCCCTTGCAAATCACCCGGAGCTGCTGCTGCCCCTTGTCCGTGGGCTGATGCAGGCTCCCATCTACCAGCCCTACCATGCAATGAGCCTTCCCCAGCAGTCCCTTGCAAATCACCCGGAGCTGCTGCTGCCCCTTGTCCGTGGGCTGATGCAGGCTCCCATCTACCAGCCCTACCATGCAATGAGCCTTCCCCAGCAGTCCCTTGCAAATCACCCGGAGCTGCTGCTGCCCCTTGTCCGTGGGCTGATGCAGGCTCCCATCTACCAGCCCTACCATGCAATGAGCCTTCCCCAGCAGTCCCTTGCAAATCACCCGGAGCTGCTGCTGCCCCTTGTCCGTGGGCTGATGCAGGCTCCCATCTACCAGCCCTACCATGCAATGAGCCTTCCCCAGCAGTCCCTTGCAAATCACCCGGAGCTGCTGCTGCCCCTTGTCCGTGGGCTGATGCAGGCTCCCATCTACCAGCCCTACCATGCAATGAGCCTTCCCCAGCAGTCCCTTGCAAATCACCCGGAGCTGCTGCTGCCCCTTGTCCGTGGGCTGATGCAGGCTCCCATCTACCAGCCCTACCATGCAATGAGCCTTCCCCAGCAGTCCCTTGCAAATCACCCGGAGCTGCTGCTGCCCCTTGTCCGTGGGCTGATGCAGGCTCCCATCTACCAGCCCTACCATGCAATGAGCCTTCCCCAGCAGTCCCTTGCAAATCACCCGGAGCTGCTGCTGCCCCTTGTCCGTGGGCTGATGCAGGCTCCCATCTACCAGCCCTACCATGCAATGAGCCTTCCCCAGCAGTCCCTTGCAAATCACCCGGAGCTGCTGCTGCCCCTTGTCCGTGGGCTGATGCAGGCTCCCATCTACCAGCCCTACCATGCAATGAGCCTTCCCCAGCAGTCCCTTGCAAATCACCCGGAGCTGCTGCTGCCCCTTGTCCGTGGGCTGATGCAGGCTCCCATCTACCAGCCCTACCATGCAATGAGCCTTCCCCAGCAGTCCCTATCACCCGGAGCTGCTGCTGCCCCTTGTCCGTGGGCTGATGCAGGCTCCCATCTACCAGCCCTACCATGCAATGAGCCTTCCCCAGCAGTCCCTCACAAATGACCCGGAGCTGCTGCTGCCCCTTGTCCGTGGGCTGATGCAGGCTCATAACTCGCCGGCTGGGAATTTGTAGCAGGCAGGGGGACTGCAGCTGGAAAGGGGGGCAGGGATGCTGTAGAAGTCAAACTACCCCGTGCTGCTGCCCCTTGTCTGTGGGCTGATGCAGGCTCATAACTCGCCGGCTGGGAATTTGTAGCAGGCAGGGGGACTGCAGCTGGAAAGGGGGGCAGGGATGCTGTAGAAGTCAAATCACCCGGAGTTGCTGCTGCCCCTTGTCTGTGGGCTGATGCAGGCTCATAACTCGCCGGCTGGGAATCTGTAGCAGGCAGGGGGGCTGTAGCTGGAAAGGGGGGCAGGGATGCTGTAGAAGTCAAATCACCCGGAGTTGCTGCTGCCCCTTGTCTGTGGGCTGATGCAGGCTCATAACTCGCCGGCTGGGAATCTGTAGCAGGCAGGGGGGGTGCAGCTGGAAAGGGGGCTGTAGCAGGCAGGGATGCTGTAGATGGCATGGGGGCTGTAGCAGGGAGGGAGGGTGTAGCGCCGGTAGCAAACGTAACCCTGTTACCAGGCAGGCGCAGTAGGTTGTTGCCAGATCCACCATATCTTTGCGACGAGTGAACATATTTTTGCATTATGTCAACAATCGGGTCTGTAGCGGCGGGAGCCGGCGTGGCTTTGGTGCGCAAGCACAACAGGTAGTTGTCAGAGGGAGAGACAGTGGACGGAGCTGCTGCTGCCAAAGGGAGAAGCGCGGATCGTGAAGGTAATGGTGGTAACGGTAATGGTGGTGGTAAGGGTAATGGTGATGGGGAGGGCCCATTCTTTCCTTGCTGTTGTTGTTGTTGTTGCTGCTGCTGCTGCTGCTCTTGCCGTTGCTGCTGCTGCTGCTGCTGCTCCTGCCGTTGCTGGTGCTGGTGCTGTTGTTGTTGCTCCTGCTGCCCCTGCTGCTGCTGCTGCTGCTGCTGCTCCTGCTGCTGCGGCTGCTGCTCCTGCTGCCTACTATTCTCTCCCCATCCTGAACCAATGCTCTCAGGAAACGCATACGCTGGCATTTCAGCAGGCTGCTTCGGTGCCGTAAACACCTTAGTAGCAACAGCAACAGCAGCAGACGCTCTAGCTGCCTTTCTAGCCTTATTTACTGCCACGTTTTTCCTCGCCTGAAGCTCAGTCCCATAGAACATGTGAATGTACTTGAACCATGCTGGTTTTGCCCCCAGCCCCCTATCCTTCCCCCCTGCTGCCTTGGGCCGTCCCCTCACCTTTGCCTTCGCCCCTGTGTTCCCCCCTGACGCGTTATTGGGTTGCTCGTCCGCGTTACTAGACCCACCCTGCCGTTGCTCATCCACGGCCCCTGCCTGCTGCCCCGCGCCTCCCGCATGCTGCGCCGCGGCACCCCCCTGCTGCCCCGCTCCCCCCACCTCCTGCTCCGCCCCCCCTGCCTGCTGCTCCGCGCGCCCGGCCTGCTGCTCCGCGCCCCCTTCTTGCAGCTCCGCGGCGCACCGGCCCGTCCCCCGTTTCCGCCGCTTCTTCCGCCGCGGGTCGAGCGTCTCCGCGTCGTACCGCGCTTTCATGCGCGTCCACTGCTTCTCCATCGCCGTCGGGATGCGCCGCCATTCGGGGTTACCCCGCCGGATCGCGCGCCACACCTGCCGCCAGTAAACCTCCCCCCTGCCGCCGCTCCGCCGCGTGACTTCCCCGCTGTGTCGGCAGAAAACGACAGCCGCTGCGAGCTCCATGAGCTCCGCTTCGCTCCACTGACTCATCTTCCGCGCCGCGAGCTCCGCCAATTCCTCGCCTTCCGTTTCGCCTTCTTGAAGTTCGTACCATGGGACCTCGAGACCGCCCGGTTGCCCCACGCGACCCGGTTCCCCCACGCGACCCGGTTCGGCCTCTGCATCCGTGTCCCACTCTCGATCCGTTTCTCTGTGTCGAAACCTGTCTTCTGTTAAGTCGTACGGTCTCCCGAACCTGTCTTCTGTTAGGTCATACGGCCTTCCGAATCGTCCTCTAAGACACTCGTCGATATCGTACGAGTCGTCCGACTCGCCGTCCTTTTCGGCGTCGCTTTCGCCATCTTCGTCAAAGTCGTCGCCAAAGTCGTCGCCGGCGTCGTCGGCGTCGCTTTCGTCGTTTTCGTCGGCATCGCAGCGGGTTAAGGCGGCAGCGTGTTGTTCCTTGATCCAACGAATGAACGGAGGGTCGGGTTTCGGAATCGTCGCCAGATCCGTGCCGGACTGGCCTGTTAGACCGTTGGTTGCAAGATTCCTAGGAGCCATGTCTGGAAAGTGGCTGTTGGAGAGGAGAGACAGGAAAGCTGTAAACCTGGACACATTGGGAATAAGCCCTAGGACAAGGTGCTTTGGCAAAGTTTAAAAAACCTATCGTTTTAGTACGGTAATTGCCTTTAACAAAACGGTTGTACGGGGTTCCGCGCTGGTTCCGTCAAATGTCAAGCAGGTGTCCTGCCTTTCGTGTCCCAAGTTCCTCGGAGCGGTTCTGGCAGACACGACGACCCCCTCACCTCATATCCTGCCCGATTGTCATGCACCGCTGGAAACTGTAGTACGCGGTCAGAATACAGGGTCAGACGAACGATCAACCAGCGTCGACGAAGGCCAGTCACCATTGGTTGACGAACTATGAGTTTCGCGAGTTTCTCACACTGGCCCTACTATAAACCCAGATGGTAACCAGCGAAAGCCAAAGCGGAAACGGAAACTGTTCCTAGTGCCCACTTCCGATGAGTACAGTACAGCACAGAAGATAGTTCAGTCACGCAACTCCGGGAAAAGCCGTCAGTGGACATCATTTGCGGGCAGTGGTCACGAAAAAACCGGTTGATACACGAAAATCGGCTGGACACGGTATGGTGGTGGCTGTCTCAGCCAGTGACAACCCTACAATGGGGGTTGTTTGTCGAACAGGCCCTTTTGAGTTTGAGATCAGGTTCAGGGCATGTCCTCGTTAGCGAGAATGGAATGGACTTGATTCGCGGTAATGAGCTGTGAGTGTTCACTGCTGCAACTCTAAGCAGTTAACTGTGGAAGTATCTGTTAAATGCAAAGGAATAGCAGTTTTCCACCTCAAAGCCTTCTATTTTGTCTGCAAACTGCGTAACGAATCAAAGGGAAATAAAGATGATGAGACACACACTGTCTCCGCAGAAAAGTTTTTGTTCAAAGGAAACCTGTCATGTCGTGCGGCGGAGAATGTTTCGAATCACTCGCCCCACCTCCTCTCCATAATCTTCCTGTGCATGATGCCCCACCTGCCCAAGAAGAAATTCATGCAGGGAAAAGGAAGCAAACAACGAGATGATGTATGAAACCTGGGACGCAAAGAGGAGTAAAGAGGAGTAAAGAGGTCTGGAACGCAAAGAGTATTACAAGAACTGCCAGCGGTCCTTCATGCCCCAGGAACATCTACACCTCCTATTCCTTATACTCACCTCGTCTAGAGTCACCAGCACAGTCCCTTCTGCTCTGCACGCCTCCCGAACCCCGTCAAACGACTGCCAGCGGTCCTTCATTCCCCAGATGACAGTGGGTGAGGAGGAGGGCCCCAGTTGAGCGGAGACACCTCAAAACTTGTTTCCCTCTGTCGGCACTCACCTCGTCTAGAGTCACAAGCACCGCCCCTGCTGCTCTGCACACTTCTCGAACCCCATCATACGACTGTCAGCGGTCCTTCATTCCCCAGATGACAGTGGGTGAGGAGGAGGGCCCCAGTTGAGCGGAGACACCTCAAAACTTGTTTCCCTCTGTCGGCACTCACCTCGTCTAGAGTCACAAGCACCGCCCCTGCTGCTCTGCACACTTCTCGAACCCCATCATACGACTGTCAGCGGTCCTTCATTCCCCAGATGACAGTGGGTGAGGAGGAGGGCCCCAGTTGAGCGGAGACACCTCAAAACTTGTTTCCCTCTGTCGGCACTCACCTCGTCTAGAGTCACAAGCACCGCCCCTGCTGCTCTGCACACTTCTCGAACCCCATCATACGACTGTCAGCGGTCCTTCATTCCCCAGATGACAGTGGGTGAGGAGGAGGGCCCCAGTTGAGCGGAGACACCTCAAAACTTGTTTCCCTCTGTCGGCACTCACCTCGTCTAGAGTCACAAGCACCGCCCCTGCTGCTCTGCACACTTCTCGAACCCCATCATACGACTGTCAGCGGTCCTTCATTCCCCAGATGACAGTGGGTGAGGAGGAGGGCCCCAGTTGAGCGGAGACACCTCAAAACTTGTTTCCCTCTGTCGGCACTCACCTCGTCTAGAGTCACAAGCACCGCCCCTGCTGCTCTGCACACTTCTCGAACCCCATCATACGACTGTCAGCGGTCCTTCATTCCCCAGATGACAGTGGGTGAGGAGGAGGGCCCCAGTTGAGCGGAGACACCTCAAAACTTGTTTCCCTCTGTCGGCACTCACCTCGTCTAGAGTCACAAGCACCGCCCCTGCTGCTCTGCACACTTCTCGAACCCCATCATACGACTGTCAGCGGTCCTTCATTCCCCAGATGACAGTGGGTGAGGAGGAGGGCCCCAGTTGAGCGGAGACACCTCAAAACTTGTTTCCCTCTGTCGGCACTCACCTCGTCTAGAGTCACAAGCACCGCCCCTGCTGCTCTGCACACTTCTCGAACCCCATCATACGACTGTCAGCGGTCCTTCATTCCCCAGATGACAGTGGGTGAGGAGGAGGGCTGGCATGACACTGAGACGTTTCAAAACTCGTTTCCCTCCATCTGCACTCACCTCATCTAGAGTCACTAGAACGGCCCCGGCTGCTCTGCACGCCTCTCGGACCCCGTCAAACGACTGCCAGCGGTCCTTCATGCCCCAGATGACGGTGGGTGAGGAGGAGGGCTGGGCAGAGACGGCAGAGAGGGCCTTGGCGACCAGAGGGAGTGACGCCTGGGAGGAGGGGCCAAGGAGAGCAACGAGAATTCAGATGACTTCGGTTGACTTTGGATGACTTCGGTTGACGCCTGGGAGGTGGGGCAAGCGACGGAGGGGAGGGATACAGCATTGTGAGCCCAGGACCCTAGTGCTGAAACCCTAACCCTAACGGCGAACCCCGAGTGGCAGCAGCAGCGGGCTTTCATGCCCCAGACGACTGTGGCTGAGGAGGAGGGCTGGGCAGAGACCGCGGAGAGGGCCTTGGCGACCAGAGGGAGTGACGCCTGGGAGGAGGGGCAAGGGAGAGGGATGGGAGCAGCAAGAAGTAGTGTCAGCTTGAAACCCTAGCCCTAACACGGATGCCCCAGATGGTGGGTGAGGAGGAGGGCTGGGCAGAGACCGCAGAGAGAGCCTTGGCGACCAGAGGAAGGGACGCCTGGGAGGAAGGGGGAAGGGAGAGAGGGAAGGCACAAGCGACATTATCAAGCCAAAGCGCAGAGACAGCAGCAGCGGTCCTTCATGCCCCAAATGACAGTGGGTGAGGAGGAGGGCTGGCTTGACACCGCAGACAGGGCCTTGGCGACCCGGGGGATTGATGCCTGGCAGTGTGGGGCCAAGGGAGAGAGTGAAGCAACAAAAAACATTGTCAACTTAAAACCCTTACCCCAAACCCTAAGCCCTAACCATAAAGCCGGAACCCCCTAATCCTAGAGCCCAAGCCCCGTAACCCTGAATTCGAAACCTCAAGGCTGTGAGAGCAAAGCCCGAAGCGCCACTGACAAGGTAGGGTTGCGCAAACCACGTGGCGACAATCCCAAGGTAGAGAGGGCAGTGATACTAGCCTCTCACCTTAAGATCCTTCTGAAAGGCTCGAGTGATGGCTGTGAGAGCAAACCTCGAGTCTCCTTCTGCAAAGCGACCCTGCATACCTTGAGATCCTTCTGAAAGGCTCGCGTGATTGCTGGGAGAGCAAAGCCCAGCACAGCCCCCCTGCTTCAAGAGTCGACCCACCCACTAGGGTGAAGATGTTTACCCTGCTTACCTGAAGATGTTTCTGCTCAGCCCCCTGCATACCTTCAGATCCTTCTGAAAAGCTCGCGTGATTGCTGTGAGAGCACAGCCCGATGCGCCACTGACAAGGTGCAGTTGCTGTGAGCTCAAAACCATCCCAACCGCTCTGCATACCTTAAGATCCTTCTGAAAGGCTCGAGTGATTGCTGTGAGCGCAAACCCCGAAGCGCCACTGACAAGGTAGGGTTACGCAAACCACCTGGCGACAATCCCAAGGTAGAGAGGGCAGTGATACTCGCCTCTCACCTTAAGATCCTTCTGAAAGGCCCTTGTGATGGCTGTGAGAGCAAACCTCGAGTTCTCCTTCTGCAAAGCGACCCTGCATACCTTCAGATCCTTCTGAAAAGCTCGCGTGATTGCTGTGAGAGCAAAGCCCGATGTGCCACTGACAAGGTACAGTTGCTGTGAGCTCAAAACCATCCCAACCGCTCTGCATACCTTTAGATCCTTCTGAAAGGCTCTTGTGATGGCTGTAAGAGCAAAGCCCGATGCTCCACTGGATAGGTAGGGCCGGCGATACACCATGGCATCCTCCTCATCTATCAGGTAACAGCCCGCTTCCTCTAACACCCTGTCGCTGGCTCGTAGAGGGTCCTGCCAACAGGTGCAAGGGGAGGAGCGAGGGGAGCAAGGGAGGGACAGTCGGCGGTACACCATTGCATTATGCTCATCGATCAGGTAGCACCCTGCCTCCTCCAGCACCCTGTCACTGGCACGTAAGGGGTCCTGGAAATGGGAGGGGCAAGGGGAACAAGGGAGGTGAGTCACTGGGTGGCAACGTAGGGTCGGTGGTACACCATGGCATCCACCTCGTCGATCAGGTAACACCCTGCCTCCTCCAGTACTCGATAACTGGCTCTCAGAGGGTCCTGCATTGGGAAACGGCGGGGTGAGAGGAGAGAGGGATTTGTGTTAGGGGAAGGCCGTTGATTCACTGGCAAGGGAGGTAGGGCCGGCGGTACACCATTGCATCCTCCTCATCTATCAGGTAACAGCCGGCCTCCTCCAACACCCTGTCACGGGCTCGCTGTGGGTCCTGCCATCATATGAAGAGGGAGGGGGAGGAGCAAGGGGAACAAGGGAGGTGAGTCACTGGGTGGCAAGGTAGGGCCGGCGCTACACCATTGCATCCTGCTCATCGATCGGGTAACAGCCCGCCTCCTCCAGCACCCTGTCGCTGGCTCGTAGCGGGTCCTGCCATCATGTGCAAGGGGAGGAGCAAGGGGAGCCAGGGAGGTACGGTCGGCAGTACACCATGGCATCCTGCTCGTCGATCAGGTAGCACCCCGCCTCCTCTAACACCCTGTCACTGGCTCTCAGAGGGTCCTGCCATCATGTGAAGAGGGAGGGGGAGGGCAGTGAGGGGAGAGGGAGGGTGGTACACCATTGCGTCCTCCTCCTCCAACACCCTGTCGCTGGCTCTCAGAGGGTCCTGCCACGAGCGAGGGGAGTGAAAGAAGAGCGGCAAGGTAGGGTCGGCAGTACACCATGGCATCCTGCTCGACCATCAGGTAACAGCCAGCCTCCTCCAACACCCTGTCGCTGGCACGTAAGGGATCCTGGAAATGGGAGGAGCAAGGGGAACAAGGGAGGTGGGACACTGGCGAGGTACGGCCGGCGGTACACCATGGCATACTCCTCATCGATCAGGTAACAGCCCGCCTCCTCCAGCACCCTGTCACTGGCTCGTAGCGGGTCCTGCCATCATGTGCAAGGGGAGCAGCAAGGGGAGCCAGGGAGGTACGGTCGGCAGTACACCATGTGGCATCCTCCTCTTCTATCAGGTAACAGCCGGCCTCCTCCAATACAGTCGCTGGCTCTTAATGGATCCTGTCAGCAGCAGGGATAGAGGGAACGGACAGTCGGCGCTACACCATTGCATCCTCCTCGTCGATTACATAACAGTCTGCTTCCTCCAGCACTCGGTCACTGAGGTGACTTTTGAGTCGACTCAAAAGTTTCCTCCAGCACTCGGTCACTGGCTCGTAGCGGGTCCTGCCACGGTGCCACCAGCAAGAGGAGTGGGAGAGGAGTGGGAGAGGAGTGGGAGAGGGGATGAAGGTAGGGCCGGCGGTACACCATTGCATCCTCCTCGTCTATCAGGTAACAGCCGGCCTCCTCCAGCACTCGATCACTCGCCCTCAAAGGGTCCTGTATCATCAGGTGAAAGGGAGAGTGCAGCGGGGACGAGGGGGGAGAGGGAGATGCATCACTAGCAAGGCAGGGCCGGCGGTACACCATTACATCCTCCTCATCGATTAAGTAGCACCCTGCTTCCTCTAGCACTCGATCACTCGCCCTCAAAGGGTCCTGTATCATCAGGTGAAAGGGAGAGTGCAGCGGGGACGAGGGGGGAGAGGGAGATGCATCACTAGCAAGGCAGGGCCGGCGGTACACCATTACATCCTCCTCATCGATTAAGTAGCACCCTGCTTCCTCTAGCACTCGATCACTCGCCCTCAAAGGGTCCTGTATCATCAGGTGAAAGGGAGAGTGCAGCGGGGAAGAGGGGGGAGAGGGAGATGCATCACTAGCAAGGCAGGGCCGGCGGTACACCATTACATCCTCCTCGTCTATCAGGTAGCACCCTGCTTCTTCTAGCACTCGATCACTGGCTCTCAGAGGGTCCTGCATTGGGGAAGAGAGAGGAGTGAGAATAGAGGGATTGTGGAAGGGAGGGAGGTGAGCCACTGGCAAGGGAGGGCCGGCGGTACACCATTGCATCCTCCTCGTCGATCAGGTAACAGCCCGCCTCCTCCAGCACCCTGTCGCTGGCACGTAGCGGGTCCTGCCATCAGGTGCAAGGGGGGAGGAGCAAGGGGAGCAAGGGAGGTACAGTCGGCGGTACACCATGTGGCATCCTCCTCGTCTATCAGGTAACAGCCCGCCTCCTCTAACACCCTGTCACCAAGGGAAAAGGAGAAGGGGGGTGTGGCACTGGCTGGCAAGGTGGGGTCGGCGGTGGTACACCATGTGGCATCCTCCTCGTCTATCAGGTAACAGCCCGCCTCCTCCAGTACTCGGTCACTAGCTCTAAGTGGATCCTGCCACCACAAGGTGAAGGGGCGAGGTGAGGGGAGCGAGAGGGAGGTGAGGCACTGGCTGGCAAGGTAGGGCCGGCGCTACACCATGGCATCCTGCTCATCGATCGGGTAACAGCCCGCCTCCTCCAACACGCGGTCGCTGGCTCGTAGCGGGTCCTGTCATCAGGTGCAAGGGTAGGAGCAAGGGGAGCAAGGGAGGCAGGGCCGGCGGTACACCAGGTAGCACCCTGCCTCCTCTAGCACTCGATCACTTGCTCTGAGAGGGTCCTGCATTGGGGAAGAGAGAGGAGTGCGAGAATAGAGGGATTGTGGAAGGGAGGGAGGTGAGCCACTGGCAAGGTTGGGGCTCCATTGGACCTACACCCTGCTCTTCTACTAGATAACACCCTGCTTCCTCCAACACCCTGTCACTGGCTCAGCCCCTATCTGGGCGAAGATCTCTCCAAGCAGGAAGTTGGAGAAGGCCGAGAGGCAGGAGGGCAACAGTAGGTACAAGTAGATACAAGTAGATACAAGTAGGTTGCACATACATGCATGCATCAGACCCTCACCTGGGCGAAGATCTCTCCAAGCAGGAAGTTGGAGAAGGCTGAGAGGCACGAGGGCAGGCAGGCAGCAGCCGGTACTACATACATGCAGCACAACCCTTGCACATGCATGCATCAGACCCTACCTGCGCGAAGATCTCTCCTAGCAGGAAGTTGGAGAAGGCTGAGAGGCACGAGGGCAGCTTGGCATGCTTCTCTGTGATCTGATTGGTTGGGAGGGGGGAGGGGAGATGAAGGAGAGAGGGGAGATGAAGGAGAGAGGGGAGCAAGGGTGAGAGAGCAGCAGGGAGGAAACACAGTCAAGCACGTGAGGCAGAGAGGCAGGAGGGCAGCTTGGCATGCTTCTCTGTGATCTGATTGGTTGGGAGGGGGGAGGGGAGATGAAGGAGAGAGGGGAGATGAAGGAGAGAGGGGAGCAAGGGTGAGAGAGCAGCAGGGATGAAACACAGTCAAGCACGTGAGGCAGAGAGGCAGGAGGGCAGCTTGGCATGCTTCTCTGTGATCTGATTGGTTGGGAGGGGGGAGGGGAGTTGAAGGAGAGAGGGGAGCAAGGGTGAGACAGCAGCAGGGAGGAAACACAGTCAAGCACGTGAGGCAGAGAGGCAGGAGTCCAGCTTGGCGTGCTTCTGTGTGATCTGATTGGTTGGGAGGGGGGAGGGGAGATGAAGGAGAGAGGGGAGAAGGAAGCAGAGAAGGGAGGAGGGGTGGGAACGAACGAGGGAAGATGATTTTGAGACGCCTAAGGCGAGGCGAGGTAACCTCATGATGTGACTTTTGAGTCGACTCAAAAGAGAGGGGAGGAGGAGGCAGAGAAGGGAGGAGGGGTGGGAACGAATGAGGGAAGATGATTTTGAGGCGCCTAAGCGAGGCGAGGTAACCTCATGATGTGACTTTTGAGTCGACTCAAAAGAGAGGGGAGGAGGAGGCAGAGAAGGGAGGAGGGGTGGGAAAGAGGGAAAATGATTTTGAGACGTCTAAGGCGAGGCAGCCTCATGATGTTTTTTAGTTTTCTAGGGAAGAATCACCAAAACATTTATGAGAACAAAAGAAGAAGAAAACACACACACACACACACACACACACACACACGCACGCACGCACGCACGCACGCACACACACACACACACACACACACACACAATTATCAATCAAGAAATAAAAACGGTTGAGCTGCTATCCAGAGAGTTTAATTTCGTGGGTTTTACTCATGTGAGCAACTGTTGTTTTCCACTATATTGTGTTACACGATTGTGACACTCACATGTGACACTTAGCCGTGACACTTAGCCGTGACACTTAGCCGTGACACTTACAGGTGGGTTGATAAATATGAGGTGGCGAATCCGGGCAGGGTTGGAAAGGACAAACTCAGCAGCGGGCAGACAGAAATAGCCCTGCGCGAGATAAAGTCGGGCAGAGAGAAAGAAAGCGGGAAGGAGAATTGGGAAGAGGTAATAACTGAGTGAAAAACAGATGGATTTGCCACCCTTGTAAAATCTTTCCCCCATTCCCTCACCTGAGCTACAATGGAAACATCTCCCTTTTTACCGAAAGTCTGCTCTGGGGGCAACCGGAATCTTCTGGTAGTAACTGGACCTCTTTCCTTCACTGCCTCCCTTCTCACCTGAGCGACAACAGAAACATTCCCCAGGCCCATCGTTGCCACCAGCCGTCCCAGCTCTTGTGCATAGTCACTCGGGGAATACCCGAACCTCTTCTGGTCTGGGGGCAACCGGAATCTTCTGGTAGTAACTGGACCTCTTTCCTTCACTGCCTCCCTTCTCACCTGAGCGACAACAGAAACATTCCCCAGGCCCATCGTTGCCACCAGCCGTCCCAGCTCTTGTGCATAGTCACTCGGGGAATACCCGAACCTCTTCTGGTCTGGGGGCAACCGGAATCTTCTGGTAGTAACTGGACCTCTTTCCTTCACTGCCTCCCTTCTCACCTGAGCGACAACAGAAACATTCCCCAGGCCCATCGTTGCCACCAGCCGTCCCAGCTCTTGTGCATAGTCACTCGGGGAATACCCGAACCTCTTCTGGTCTGGGGGCAACCGGAATCTTCTGGTAGTAACTGGACCTCTTTCCTTCACTGCCTCCCTTCTCACCTGAGCCACAATGGAAACTTCTCGCACTCCCATCGTTGCCACCAGCCTTCCAAGCTCCCGCGCATAGTCGCTCGAGGAATACCCAACCTTCTAATCTGGTGGTAACCACTTTCCCTCACTCCCTTCTCACCTGAGCCACAAAGGAAACCTCTCCCAGGCCCGTCGTTGCCACCAGCCTTCCCAGGTCCCGTCGTGCATCGTCACTCAGGGAATACCCAAATCCCTTCTGGTCCGCCTGGGGCTGACTCCCTCTATCGTGTTTACTCACTCCCTCCCTTCATTCCTTTACCTGGTGACTTTTGAGTCGACTCAAAAGTCACCTCGTTACAATGGAACACGGTCCGCCTGGGGCTGACTCCCTCTACCGGTTCACTCACTCCCTGCCGCCATCCTCACCTGAGCCACAATGGAAACATCCCCCAGGCCCATTGATGCCACCAGCCGTCCCAGCTCCCGAGCATAGTCCCTTGGTAATACCTCTGAGACGTCAGGGAATACCCAAATACCTCAGGGAATACCCAAATACCCGGTTCACTCACTCACTCCCTCCCGCCATCCTCACCTGAGCCACAATGGAAACATCCCCCACTCCCATTGTTGCCACCAGGCTTCCCAGCTCCCGAGCGTAGTCCCTTGGTAATACCTTTGAGACGTCTCAAAGGCCCTCACTCCCTCCCGCCATCCTCACCTGAGCCACAATGGATACATCCTCCACTCCCATCGTTGCCACCAGCCTTCCCAGCTCTCGAGCATAGTCGCTCAGACAGTACCCAAACCGCCTCTGGTCTGCTAGTACCTGAGCCTCTTCCTTCATTCCTTTACCTGAGCCACAATGGATACATCCTCCACTCCCATCGTTGCCACCAGCCTTCCCAGCTCTCGAGCATAGTCGCTCAGACAGTACCCAAACCGCCTCTGGTCTGCTAGTACCTGAGCCTCTTCCTTCATTCCTTTACCTGAGCCACAATGGATACATCCTCCACTCCCATCGTTGCCACCAGCCTTCCCAGCTCCCGCGCGTATTCGCTCAAAGAATACCTGAACCTTCTAATCTGGTGGTAACCTTAACCTCTTTCCCACAATCCCTCACTCCCTCACCTGAGCCACAATCGAAACATCCTCCACTCCCATCGTTGCCACCAGCCCTCCCAGCTCCCCACCAACACTCCACTTTCCCCCAGTCCCCGCTATAGTCCTGCTACCCTCGTTCCTTCACTCCCTCACCTGAGCCACAATCGAAACATCCTCCACTCCCATCGTTGCCACCAGATTTCCAAGTTCCCGAGCGTAGTCGCTCGGGGAATACCCGAACCTCTTCTGGTCCGCCTGGGGCTTATCCGAGCCTCCGAACCCGAGCCAATCCGGCGCCACGCACCGCACGCCGAGCGACTCCTCCGAACCTAGCCCTCCAGCTTCGGCCGAACCTCCTGCTGTTGTTGCTGCTGCTGCATCTCCTGCTGCTGCAGAGGTGGTGAGGGCGAAGGTACCAGGGGTGATGGAGTTGATGACTTGGCGGAATGAGTAGCTGTGAGATGGGAGGCCGTGGAGGAGAAGGAGAGGAGGGGAGGAGGAGGAAGAGGAGGAGGAGGAAGAGGAGGAGGAAGGGGAAGAAGAAGGAGAGTCTTGTTCGTCTGTCTGTGTGTCAATGACAAACCACCTGCAGTGGGTGGGACCAAGAAGGGGGAGGGAACAGAAGCAGAACTGGGAAGCGGGAAGCAGAATTGGGAGGGCCGAAGAGAAGGAGAGCGGGTGAGGGCGAAGGTCCCAGGGGTGATGGTGTTGATGACTTGGCGGAATGAGTAGCTGTGCGAGGTGAGGCCGTTGAGAACTCACCTGAGAACTCACCTGAGAACTCACCTGAGAACTCACCTGAGCCCCTCAGAGGAGGCCTGAAAGCCCTCCCCCATCCTCAGTCCAAACACAGGGTCCCGCACCTCCTGCACCCCCCCTGCTGCCCGTTTCCCCTCATCTTTCTCCCCCCACCTCCTGCACTCCCCCTGCCGCCCCTTCCCTTCCCCCCTTCCCTTCCACTCTCCCTCACCTGAGCCCCTCAGAAGAGGCCTGAAAGCCCTCCCCCATCCTCAGTCCAAACACAGGGTCCCGCACCTCCTGCACCCCCCCTGCCGCCCCTTCGCCCTCCTTCCCCTCCTCACCTCCTTCCCCCTACCTCTCCTGCACCCCCCTGCTTTCCACTCTCCCTCTCCTGAGTCCCTCAGAGGAAGCCTGAAATCCCTCCCCCATCCTCAGCCCAAACACAGGGTCCCGCACCTCCTGCACCCCCCCTGCTGCCCGTTTCCCCTCATCTTTCTCCCCCCACCTCCTGCACTCCCCCTGCCGCCCCTTCCCTTCCCCCCTTCCCTTCCACTCCCCCTCACCTGAGCCCCTCAGAAGAAGCCTGAAAGCCCTCCCCCATGCGCAGTCCAAACACAGGATCCCGCACCTCCTGCACTCCCCCTGCTGCCCCTTCCCCAATCCCTTCTCCCCGCCTTTCCTGCACTCTCCCTGCTGCCCCTCTAACCGCCCCTTCCCTTCCACTCCCCCTCACCTGAGTCCCTCTGAAGAGGCCTGAAAGCCCTCCCCCATCCGCAGTCCAAACACAGGATCCCGCACCTCCTGCACCCCGCCTGCTGTCCCTTCCCCCCCACCTTCCACTCCCCTTGCCGCCCTTTCACCTCCCGCCCTTCGTGCACTCCCCCTGCTTCACTCACCTGAGCCCCTCAGAGGAAGCCTGAAAGCCCTCCCCCATGCGCAGCCCGAACACAGGATCCCGCACCTCCTGCACTGCCGCTACTGCTCTTCCCACTCCCCCTGCTGCCCTCCCGTCCCCCTCACCTGAGCCCCTCAGACGAGGCCTGAAAGCCCTCCCCCATGCGCAGTCCAAACACAGGATCCCGCACCTCCTGCACTCCCCCTGCCGTCCCTTCCCCCCCGGCCACCACCACCACCTTCCCCTGCTCCTCCCACTCCTCCGCCCTGCCCCCTCCTTCCGCGTATTTCCCTGTGAGAAGGGGAGGAAGTGGAGGAGGAGGGTACAATATTCAAATCTCCCTGAGCTGCTGCCCCTTTCCCCCCCCTCCTCCCCCCCCGCCCCCCACCACCAACACCTTCCCCCCCAGCCACCACCACCACCTTCCCCCCCTCCTCCCACTCCTCCGCCCTGCCCCCTCCTTCCGCGTATTTCCCTGTGGGGAGGGGAGGAACGGGAGAAGGGGAGAGCAAGGTTCAAATTTCCGTGTGGGAAAGGGTAGGCCCCCTCCATCCGGGTATTTTCCTGTGGGAAGGGAAAGGAGGGGAGAAGGCGGGAGCAAGATTCAAATATCCAAACGCAACAGCCACATCCTCACTCCCCACCCCACCCCTGCTGCTCCCTTTACGTTGCTTCAGAATCGGCAAGTGATATGCTTTTGCTCCCTTCACGTTGCTGCTCTGCTTTCAAGCTGCGTCAAAAGCATATCCCTTGCCGTTTCTTCGAGGGTATCTGTTGGAAAATTAGGAATCATAACGAGTGTTCCTGCATTGACGGAATAATTGCTTTGGGTTTGACGAGAACGGGAACCGCATCTGCATGACAAGCGTCAGTCGACCAAATTGAGACGGACAAATCGATTCGCTACAAGCATTCCCGTTAGTAGCACTCGAATAATTCAAATTCGTATCGGTAACCCTCAATGTAGCTACATCCGTGTCAGGAACACTTGAATTAACGGAGTCTATCTCAGCAGCATTCGTATCAACCCAAAATTCGATGTAGGAACATTCGTACCGCCGACAAACGAGAATCCGTCGCCGACTGATACGGGCGCATCGATTAATCCACTGCCGTCGTCCTCATCCTCGATATAGTAATTCCCGTTATCGTCCTCGTCCACATACAGCGACCTTACGGGATGTACACGTCCGCGACTAGCAGCAAAACGACTTTCTTGAGCAACTGAGCTACTAACGCGGATAGTGTTCCGTAACTTGCTGCCGTGGAATGCGGATTGCGGCAAGAGACTCAAGCCGCGTGAGGGAGTACGGCGGCCAGCGTGGCTCAGGACAGGCTGACGTGCGCTAGGCTGCCACGTGGCATTCGGGAGTTGGCATTGCTGGGCAGACGGAATAGCTGACACCAAGCCGGTTACCGGGTTACGCGCCGCGATGGACGACGTGAGAGCCGCCATGTCACCTTGTAACGCCACAGTTTGGCTGGATTCTCAGGAGCAAATAGCGGACTAGTTGATAAGTGGTAGCAAATACACGCTAAGACAAATTCGTTTGTGAACAATTTTTAAAAACCATGCACGCCAATACTATCAACTATATGATTCTCCCATTTCAGAGTCGGATGTCATTCGCAAAAAATATTTAATCACATCGCTACTTTCTTTTGTCGGGGAATTTCTTTATTAGAACCGGGATGAGCTGGAGTCGCGTCAAACAATTCGCTGTTTGGAGCGAAGCGCAAGCGCACAATTTTGATTGGGGTTGACAATTTCGCAAAACCTCGACTGCGGGAATTATGGACGTTTGGGGTGCGCGGTGCCGTCAACGATTCTGACAAACAAACGAAATGCTCCGTCACGGATGACAAACGTGGTCAATGTTTGAGCGAATTTCGCAGCCGTCATCGCGCGGGGCTTTGACGAGCGCCACGGTCTGCGCACCGCACCCATCACTACCACGCATTTCACATTCATAACTGACGAGAACGGTAACCAAGGCTGCCCGGAGTTCTCAAAATTCTTCTCGCCAGCAGGGACTACCCATTGGGCATTTACGCGAGGTGAACTGGCCTTTTGGACGATCGTAGAGGTGAAATTGCGCAAGCCGTAAGCGGAAATCGTCAACGTGAGTTGGAATCTGACCGAAAGGGGATCAAGCAAAAGCATTGGCAATTTGTTCCTTCACATCCACAACCGAATCGCACATGACGAGGCGCGACGGTCCAATGTGAAACTGAGCTGATCACACCAAATTCATCGACCGTGCGCAGTCGAGATTTTGATGGGGTGAGCTTTGCTTGCCAACTTCACAGAGCTTCCACGCAATTTTGTTTCTCATGGGAGGGCGACTCATGCACCACAAAGTTACGACTGTGGATGTATCAATGTTTGATAATATAGTTACAACCAAAAAAACAAAAACAAAAAAAAACAACTCATGCACCACTTTCCACCACACCCAAATTCTCTCTTTACCACCAACAAACCACCAGAGTCACATTGGCGCAAAACCTGAGGCAATTCGCAGCCCAAAGGAGAACAATCACGATTGCACGTTCCATTCAACCCAACAGCGCATTTTCAACCCGCGTGCCACAAACTGGCCCCTTTCCTTCCCTCACCCTCCCGCAAGCATCCACGTGGACCTCCAAGCGCTAGCGCGACACGGGGCGGGACTAGCACTTGTCCGTGCGGCCACTGGGAAGGGAAGCCAGGGCGAGGCGACCTGCGGGAGCCATCACTCTCTTCGTGAAATTAGAACCGGAACGAAACTCTGGTCTGGAGTCTGGACCCACTAGGATACCAGAGCCCGAGTCTAGCTGATCTAGCCGCAGCAGGCAGAGTGCTACTAGCGCCCGAGTCAGATCAGGTAGGCTCCTTCGATCCCAAGGGGAATCCCGTCTCCCCCGCCCCGACAGTTCCTACGAGCCTACGTGTCCTCCCGAGTCCCGACCCGACCCGAGTTCTGCAGGCATTCGACTCTGGAGGTAGTACCTGTAGAAACGCCTCCCCTGTTGCCAGTTGCGCGACGTGCTGGAGTCCGAAGAGTCTTCTCCTCCTCTGATCCCCCTTCGGTCTTTGAGATATCGCTGTTTAGGCACCTCAATAAGCAGAGCCCCTCTCCTAGAGAGGTTGTTCGTTCGTTCGTTGTTGCGAGACGTGCTTAGAGTGACACCCTTTTTGGTCTTTGAGAGCTCGCTCCGACTTTCCAGGTGAAAGCTATCCCCACAGCTTTCATTCTCGACGGATAGGCCGGGCTTGTCTGTCGTGGCCTTGTCGTGCCGCCCCTCGTGACTCTCTCTAGTTCTCCTCATGCCCATCATCGCCTGGGGGATCCCTCCTAGCTCATTATTCACCTCGTGCCTCTCTCCCTGCCCCCTTCTCTGGCTCTCTCGCTGCGGCTGCACTCTTGCAGTAATTCAGTAGTTCCCTCTTCGCGCCTTTATACACATACGCCTTGCTCAACAACCCTCATTAGAAAGTCTCACGCACCGCGGTAAACGCGTCGACCTCTGCCTCAGCCGGGCCCAGTCGCAGTCACCCAGTGCGTAGCCCTTCACCTTACGGGTGTTACCCCTTACGTGCCTAGTCACATATCCGTAATAGTACATTGCTCATTACGTCCGAGGATGCAACGACTCACTCCTAGTAGCCGTTGTTAGCCCTAGACGGCTTCGGAGTAGGAGCACTCGTTCGACTCCCTGGTTCCCAAGGTGAGGGCGACGGCCCCATACCCGTTTTGAGGAGCCGCAGCACACGACACAGACAAACTTTCTCTATACTTTCAAATTGTGGCCAATCCGCACCGCAAACAAGATATCGGCGGACAAAGCGCAACGCTTTCCGCCACAACCCCGCTACCCACCATGGGTCCTCCTCGGCGAACTTGTTCTCCGCCATCGCATTTTCCCCTCGCCTCTCGTTTCCGCCTCCCCCTCCGCCTCCCGCACCGCCTGCTCTCCCCCAACACTCTCCTCCTATGCGTGCTTGCGACGGTCGTCCTCGCCGCATCACGCGCCGCAGCGTATGGCGCTCCAGGAAGCGCAATGGCCACGTTTTACGGCGGACCCGATGCGTCGGGCACTTGGGGTACGTTTCGGGTTGAGGTTCACGGTTGCAAGAGGTTTCGAGGAGTTGAATTGAAGGGTCATATCGAGGGGTTGCGTTGAGAGATATAATTGGGCCAGTACCTAGAGCACGATTTGATTCTGTCCTAGCACCTAGAGAACGATTTGACTTGTAGTCAGGCGACCTATGCCATTCCGGCTTGCAAGGACGAAGTCTATCCCCTTGGTATAATTAACGATTTCTGCACTGACATTCGTTGCAGGTGGTAACTGCGGTTACGGCAATCTCGTGCAATCCGGTTATGGCATCCTCGTCGCAGCGGGGAGTCCCCCGCTTTACAAGGGCGGGAAAGGATGCGGCGCTTGCTACCGGTACGCGTTCCCTCTCTGTTATCACAAAATCCACGCCATCACGACTTTATGCGCCACTTATTCTAATTCTTTCGATGTTAATTGCCGCTCAACAGGAGAATTCTGTTCAGCATCATCTGCCCTCTTCCGTCCCTCTTCCCTTCTTCCCTTCTCCCTTGTTCCATTCCTTTATTTCCCCCTGTTGTGTCTCTACTCTCCTTCCCTGCCCCGCGTCATTCCTCTCCCTCTTCATTCTCTTATAACAGCATAACGTGTACCAACAGCACGTATTGCAACAAGGGCGTATCCATCGTGGTCGCTATAACGGATCTCTGTCCCGGCGGGGGTTGGTGCTGCCCCACCTGTCGCCACTTCGATCTAAGCGAACCTGCTTTTATCGCGCTTGCGAACCGCGCTGCAGGCTTCGTTCCCCTCGCCTACGAACAGTAAGTCTCTGATATGAGCGAACTCGCTATTAGAATTCTTACACCCCACTCGTAAAGTACGCTAATTTACGCGCATGCTCAGGTTCTGCCTTTGCGGCTCCCGTCAAAGTTTTTTTTTTATTGGTTCCCCTCAATGCCACTCAATTACATTCCCCCCCATTACCAGTTTTGTTCCAGTGATTTCCCTCAACCAGCGTCCGCTTGCTACCGACCCGGATATTTTCCGGTAATTCCCCTTAACTAACATTTATCTGTTCATTTCCTCGTATCCAATCACAGAGTGCCATGTACCTTCTCCAAC